TTTCAGTTCTGTTGCAAAATCATCCCAGCTAGTGTGCACAGTAGGTAACGCATCTAACCAGACACGCGCCACTCCTTTTAATCTACCGTAAACAGCCAATAAAACACATTTCTCGTCTAGTTGATAAGCACTCATGACACTACCAACACGATCAATAAACTGCTGAACCGTTAGCGACTGCTTGTTAGTTGGGTCAAACTCCGGAATCATGTCTGCTATTTCCTTAATTGATCGAAACCCGCCGTATACGTTTGTAGAAATTGATGGCGTTTCAGATTGACTCACACTTTCCTCTAATGGCTGATTATTCATGGGCGTCTGCACTACATTTGCGTCAACTGTTTGTTGTTTGCTCTGTTGGAACATGCTGACAATAGTTTCCATCATACTGCGCAGGTCATTGATTTGCTCCTGTAACCCAACATGCATTACCGTTGGAGCTTCAATCTCATCAGTACCGATTTTTTCCGTCAACCGCAATTCCAACTCCGCTCTCGTACCAGCTGTAGCTAACCCCTTCTCACGTAGTATGACTTTTAATTGATCGATTTTCAATTCGCTAATTTTCGGCATTGTTGATTTTGTTAACGTTAAACGTATTCGTATATTATTGTTTAGTTTCGTTGTTAATTTACATTAACAACTCGTTCGTTTTTTTCAATCGTTCAATCGTTCTTCCTTTCTTTTTTTTATCTGTTTCTCTCGTAATTCACAACTTCGTCAACATTTTATGATCTATTTTAATTGAATTTTGTTGTCTTATTTTCGTTTTGTATACATTTTCTTATTCTTGCGTTTTTGAACTTTATTTGTCTCTTTTGCACGCACTAATCACAATTAGGTTTATACGCAAAATATAATTACAAGAATTTCACAACTTTTCGTATGTTGCGCGCACAAAACATGTCTATTGGAGCGCTAGGGCTGCTACGTTTTTATACTTAAAATTTGTCCGTAAAATTTGTTCAACACACTTTTATTTATTATCCCACTTCTGAACTGTAAAATAAGAACTTGACACTAAATATTTGTTAATGTTTTATTTAGGTGTAGACCTTTTTAATATTACAATATATAAATAAAATGTATGTGATATCGCGGGCGACAGCGTTCAACGTGACAGCACTCGTTGAGAGGTAGGCGACAACTACTACTACTCTCATTGTTCGCCCTCAACAGGGTGATCTTCATTCACACTCTATATAACACACATTTTTGTCAAAGCCCAAAAGAGAGAATATTGACGAACTATGACACTCTACATAACATGCCCCTAAATAAATGTAAGTTATATGTAAAGACATCGTTGTGTGTGTGTGTGTGTCAGCTGTCATAATAATACTATATTTTAATTAATAAGTGAGATTTTATGCATCAACTGCTATGATAGGAATATAAAATCATCACCTATGTAAAAATAATTTCAGTTTTAATAAATTCTTTAAACCACTATTAAGAGCGTAATTTTTATATATCCTTACGACTGAGAGAAGTGAGACGACCAAAGTGTTTCTTTGATAGTCGCTCATGGAAACCGTAGCAGAGTATGTTCGCGGCTTCGTTAAAAAAATCGGGTGGTAAATAGTGTAAATGTTCTCAGTATTACCAACTTGCGATACCAAGCAACTAAATGTTTAGTCTGGCAAAGGCGGCTGGACGAGACCAAGAATGATGTACACTCTACGGGTGTAGAGTGTACGTCATTCCAACTAAGCACGTAAAGTTAAAGTAATAGAATTAGACACGGTAAAATTACTTGATTAACGTATTAATGTTTATTTCAAAATAAGCAATTAATCCAATATTATTATATTTTAAATAAAAACCTAACATATGAAGCCTTCGATGAAATTTATTTTTGATAAATAAAAATAGAATAAAATAAAAACTATTAAATATATATAATTAAAGAAAATAATTACTTATAAAATGAGTTGAATATTTTGTGGAAGACCATAAAATTTGTAAATCATTTTAATGTTACTGCAGAACAGTTTATGGTAATTTTGACTGCAATCAATGTATATAATTTAGGATGAAACTTAATTCTTATGGAATGAATATTAAGCAAAGGAACTAAATGAGCAATTTTATTAATTATGTACTTAATAAGCTATATAATAGAAGGATATTAAATTGGTTAATATATATAATATAACCAATTATTTTATATATTGAAAATACCTTATTAGAAAATAGTTTGTGGATAAAATTTTATTTCATTTGTGATTTCAAAATGTCACCTCACAGAATTTTGAGGTTTCTTGTCTGCGCTACTATTTTTCAAATTTACGAGTCAACAATATCCACCTCATATATCACGAAATCTTCTTCTTTATTAGAATTACTTGTGGAGATAAAAGAAGAAAAAAACTACTACACTCTGTTAATGGGAAATTGCAGCAAATCATCAATCGAGCTCGATTCTTTGCTACAAGGCCTGAACGTTTCTATTTCACATATACAACCCGGAGATGAAATCTATTTGGATGCCGACTGTAATACAAACTTTATTGCATTAGTATGTTTACAAGAGCAAAATTTTAATGAAACTTTGGATATATTGGCCAAGGAACTACAACATTTGCGGCAAACAAGAATTGTTGCTTATTTAGAAGATATTGATGACGGTGCTGATAGTGTAAGTATCATTAGTTCAATAATGGAACAGTGTGCTACATTAAAAATGCTTAATGTCCTTCTATTAACTTCTAATTTTGAGCAAGTGAAAATGTGTTACACCTATGAACTATTTCCTGACGTTAAAGTCAAGTCGCAACGATTTCAACTATCACAAAGCACGATATATTTTCCTAATAAAGTTGCAAATATGATGGGAACAAAATTACGTACAATACCTGATAAAAATGTACCACGCTCCATCGTGTATAAAGAAAAAGATGGAGGGATTCGTTTAACCGGTTATATTGGAAAGCTTGTAGTGTTGTATGCTAATAAAATTAATGCTACTTTGGAGTTTACAAACTCAACAGATAATAAAACTATTTTCTATCGTGATATGATGTATGCAGTCATTAACGAAAGTTATGATCTTGGAGCAAGTTTATCCTCAGCTGAAACTCTGTATGAGCAATATGTGCACACATATCCGGTAGAAATCTTTGATTGGTTTCCCATGTTTCCGATTATCAAAGATCTAGAAAATAGCGCTATGTTTATACGGATTTTTGAAGGTGAATTTATGTTAGTCATTGTGACACTCATATTAATATTTTCGATGTTATTAAGTTCAAATGATAAATTAGTTGACACTAACAGAAAATTAAATATATTGGATTTTCTATTGAATGAGAAGAGTTTGTGTGGCATTTTAGGTTCGGGATTTAATATGAAAAAATCTCCATTGGTAAATTTACGTTTAATTTATTTTTCAATTTTTTTAACTGGTTTATTGGTAAATGCTATGTATGCAGTACATCTTAAAACATTCCTAACCATGCCACTTGCAGCTAAACAAATACAAAACTTTGAAGACGTTTATAATGGACCTATAAAGATTATGGTCTCACATCAAGAAGTACGTGCCTTTGATTATCTACGTGAGGAAGGATTTTGGCGTGAACATGTAGCCGCTTTTGTGGTGGCACCGACATTTGATAATTTTGTTGAGCATCGTAATAATTTCAATACTTCCTATGGCTACTCAGTAACGACTTCCTTGTGGCCAGTGATCGAGCAAAAACAGGCATTATTTAGTCATAAGCTATTTCGAACTGCCAAAAATTTTTTCTTTGCAAGATCTTTGCATTTCAGTATTCCATTGCAGAGAAATTCTATATATAAGGAAACACTAGATATGTTTATATTAAAAATTTTTAGTTCAGGATTGATGGAACATTGGATGTCGTCAAGTTTCACGGAATTGGTAAGGATTGGCAGAATGACTTTAACGGACTTAAGCGAATCACGACAATTGCGAGCTTTAAGTATTGATGATTTTATTTGGATTTGGTTTGCCTTTATTATAGCACTTTGTATTAGTTTATTTGTGTTCTTGATAGAGATTATATGGAATGTTCAGCCTAAAATAAACCTATTAAAAATAAATTAGAAAAAGCAAAATCAAAGTGTAATGTATACTACCTTTAGTAATATTAATAAAAAAATATTTGTTTATCAATAATTCTAGACTTTAAAAATTCATTTTATTGTGACTAATAGTACTAACCATGCTCCACATGAATGCGCATTATATCAAATCGCTGAGTATTGTGATCCGATAATTGGCATAATTTTTTAAACTGGTTATTATTTTAAATATATACCTAACTAGGAAATTTCTTTTAAGTGTAAAAATTGTTAATTATATACTTTGTTGTGCTACGGGTCTTCAAGATACTGAAACTTTTAACTTTTTATAATGAATTGATTTATATCTGTAATATATATTTATGTTCATCAATGATTGACATATTTTTTTTGAACTAGTTATTACATATTTACTTAACTAGTAATTGTATTTATTGTGAAATTTGTATTTAGTTTTGCCACGGGTCTTCAAATTACTGCAACTTTTATTTACGATTTATTCTAAACATCCATAATACTTGTGTGCCTCAATCAGTCGCAGCGGTATCTACAAAATTTCGATATATATACTCTCAAAAATACTGTCCACTTAATTGAAGAATTCAATATTCTTTCACTTCGCATATTTACCCATCATCTCTATATACACACATATATAAAAAAGAATTCTGTATGTTTGCTTCTACTGTCTAGAATATTCTGCTTTCCAATTTCAACAAAATTCGTTTACACCATAACTAATCCAACCTTATTGGTTACTGGATTATGCAAGTACATAATTATGTTTACCAGAACATCAATGTGAAAGGCTTGGTTTCCATCTACTATTGATAAGTTTCATCCTTCACAATGATATTTATAAATTTTGTAAAAACATTTTCGGCATTATTGGATCTGAGTTGTTCTGTAGTCTCGTGAAGAAGTATATTGTGGAAAACTAAAGTACTGGCTCATTTCTAAAACGAAAGTAAATTAATAATAAAGATTAATTAATTAAAAAGTCATCAGGGCATATAGGGTAATTGAGATATATCACTTTAATTAAAATGTTTCCTAAATTGATCGGTATTGCATCATTTAAAGTATTCTCTATTGACTTAAGTCAAAACTTGATGAAATTCTTGAAAGTTTTTTATAATCGAATCTTTGTATCATTGAATTTTTATATAATCGAATTTTTGTATTCGACTTCGATTTTTCATTATCTCTTCCCGGTTGCTTACACCCTTTTCTCAGTGTGTTTTTTTTTTTTTGATAAATATTGGAATTGACGTATATATAAAAGTATATAGGTTGATATACGCACAGTTCTTGATCAAAAACTGGCGAATAAGGATTACAGCGGTACAACCGTTATACGTTATATTATAGAGAACTTAAAAATTAGGTACGGAGAGAATATATACTCTATATGTCATCCCTAGAAAATTGCGTGTAGAGCAATAGTAAAGTAATTCTTTGAGAATTTTAGTATCGTTGTTGGTTGCAATCAAAAATAAAACCACACCTCTCTTGCTATAAGTTTAATATCACCACCAATAATCCAATTAAATGTTGATTATTCAATCAATCATTATAACCAATCCCTCTTTACAAAAAGTATCTCCAGAACAAACAAACGCAGAAATTTACTGTTATAAGCCTATTAGTATATATGTTATAGATAAATGTATAAATTTTTTTATTGTATTTGAAACAAATTTCTTTAAGTACTATATAGCATTAATTACAAAATAATTTATTAAAGATTTCAAAGTAAATTTTTTAAGCATTTATTATAATATTATTTCTTTGCATATTTATAATATATTATTTCAATTGTATAAGTAACCAAACACAGTGCTATCAATCCGAAATATGCACACCAAAGCCAAAAATAGTCTTTTACTTTTAAGGCAGTTACAGTATGTCGTTTACTTAAGTCCCTATAAGACATTCTTCTCAGCTTTACCAAATCTCTGAAGCTTGTTGAAATCCAATGTCTAAGTAAACCGGAATCTTGCGCATTAAATACATATACATCCACATGTTCTTTGTAAATCGAATTCTCCTGTAATGGTACACTGAAATGCGAAAATGGCACAAAATACATATTATCAACAATTTGAAATAATTTTCTTGTAAAAAGTGATTGTTGTTCCTCAATCATAGGCCAAAAAGTGCTTGTTACTGGATAACCATAACTTGTATTCAAGCTATCTCGCGTTTTGATAAAGTCCTGAAACATTGGAACTACAACAAAGCCACTATGATATTTAGGCCAAAAGTGTTTGCCAGGGTTTACGTTAAACACATGCACTTCTTGTTCTGCTATCATAATTTTAACAGGACCATCTAATAGATCATCAAATGATTTGATTTGCTTTGCTGGTAAGGGTTTTGTAAAAAATGTATTCAAATGTGCACCATACATTGAGTTAAATACCAGACCAGTTAGGAAGATACTCATATAAACTATCCGTAAATTTAGTAAGGGTTCTTTTTGTGTTTTAAAACTTGAACCCACAATACCACATATACCTTTTTCATTAAATATAAAATTTATGAAGTTGACATCCTTTAGGGGTTTATAGAAAACTTCATTATATGTCAAAAGTACTGAGTAAATGAGGAAAAGTGTGAAAAGCGTCAGAATAATTTCTGTACTACTCATGTAGAAAAACACCTCACTCGTGTCTAAATCTTTAAGCAATGGCAACATGGGCATCCATTTTACAAATTCAAATGGGTATGAGTGCAGACCTTGTTCAATAAAGTTTTGTGGTACCGATAATGTCACACCAATATCAAAAGATCCATTGCCCACTGTATGTAAAATTTGTCGATAAAATACAGTGCTGTTGTCATTGGAATATGGGAATTCGAGAGTGGCATTAATATTTTGAGCAAAATTTTTCACAAATTTTCCAATATAACCACTTAAAATCACTTCACCTTTCTTGTTGGTATATATGAAAGAGTTTGGAATTGATCGATCTGGATAAGCACGTAGTATAGCACCTTTCAGGTTTTTTATTTTATTGGGAAAATATGTGGTCTGCTGGAATTCATCAAAAATATGTAATTTGACTTCAAAGAAGGGAAACTTCTCCCAGGAATAATATTTTCTTGATTTCTGAAAATCAAATGGCACCAATAGTGTATTCAGTATTTGGAGATCTTCGCATTTTTCTAAAATACTCTTCACGTAGTTATGTGCAGGGCCCTTGAAATATATAATGGTTCTTGTGTACCGCATATGATGTAATTTCTCTGCTAATTGTTCTAAATTTTCCGATATGTCGAAGTTATTTAGGCAGGCGATAGCTAACATATCTGCGAAAAAGTTGTGCTTTAAATGTATTTTGAAACTTGAGTTAAGTTGTAAAAGTGGTGTTTCGATGTTCTTCAGTACATATTCATTGTCCTGAAATATATTCCCGCAATTTTCCAACAAAATCGTATTATAGTTTTTTTCTGCTTTCAATATTAAAAGAAAATTTAAAAGAACTGTATCTTGTCCTTTTTCTGGTATCGTCAGCATTGTGTTTGTGTGTCTTAAGGCAAACCAGAGTAAAATATTTATAAAATATATGATATACATTGTTATCACTTTATTGAAATATATATTAATAACTTTGTTAAATACTTTTTTATTGAATACAAGTGTCCACGAAGTAATCCACATAAACATTTAATGCAATTGCCACAAAGTACATTTGTATCTATTTCATTTAGCTAAAGTTTGGAATGGATCCATTTATGCCGTTTAAAATGTAACTTACGATTAATTTCATTTCTAAAGCTTAAATAATTTTATAGTTCAACTCTTGCAATTTAAATGAACCACCAATTATTTAGTATAATGTATTCCTCGATTATTTTCTGATAAGAAAATTTAATACTTTTATTCCTTACATTCCATACATTAGTCTCTGCTACGGACACATTAAAGGATACGCCTTTTGTATTGCCCTATTTTTTCTTTTTTTAAATAATACAATTTTTTTACGTTTTCAAAAGGTGCAGTTCAAAAGGTTATATTCTTCATTCTTTTATAATAATTTTGATAAAAGATTCAAAACGAAACTCCTTTTTACATAAACTGTGACTGGTTGAGCTAAGATGTTCAGTTTATGAATGAACATGTCCCCCATGACAGTGGGGAGTTAATCAGAAAACCAATTGAAATGTTATTGTTATATTACATTTTACTGTATTCAACTATGTTTTTTTAACAGGGTTATTCATTTTGTGGCACCAAACATAATACACGTAAAACTTACTTGAGATTATGATTTCTATAAAAATTTTTTTCAGTATATTATTTGAACCCACTTATAAGGTGCAAAACACTCAGTTCAAATATATTTTACGGAATGTTTTTGACGCTTTTTGGATTCGTAGCTGACAATACTAGGCTCACTATTCATATTTTGAGCCTAGTAGTGAAAAAATGCTCACTTGTCGTTGAAAATTGCTTTATGGTTTCTCGAAATATTCTTCTTTATGATTAACACAGTTTTGTATGCGTTCGCACCATTTGCCAAAGCATTTTTTCCAATCTTCTTCAGACAATTCCAAAACATGGTTTTTAAATGCAACAACGGCTACTTCCGCCAACAAAAATCGTCGTCCACGCTTAACGTTCGGCAACAAGAAGAAGTCATTTTGTGCCAAATCAGGACTGTACGGCAGATGACCCATCAATTTGATTTTTTGAATGTTCAAATAGTCAGTTGTTAGACGAGATGTGTGAGCCCTCGCATTGTCTTGATGTATAATGATCGCTTGTTTGTTTTCCGTATTTAACTAAATACTTTCGGTAAACAAATGGTTGTATACCATTTGGAATTAACCGTTTTACTCATACGTTCCTGTAATGGTATAGTTACCACATGACAAAGTTTCCCGAAAACACAAGTGACTATTTATTTTAAAGTGCTTCGAGCGCGAACAACTTTTGTTGGATTTGGTTCATCTTGAAACACCCATACAGTCGACTGCTGTTTATGTTCCGGTTCATACGGTTATATTCATGACTCGTCCTGTTACAATCTTATACGACTTTTCAAGCACTGCTATTGTAATTCTTGAGAATTTGTGTGCATCAATCGACACAAGCACATTTTTGAGATTGTGTCAAATAATGGGGGATCCAACGAGAACAAAGCTTTCTCACGGCTAAATGATCATGCATTATTTTATATATGCCTGTCTCACACTTTATCGCATGACGGTTTTACATGATCAGTTTTTAGAAATCACCAATGTGTTTAGGAACAACTGATTTCTGATTTAGAACGACCTTCACGAATTTCGTTAGTGAGCGAACTGCGGCCATGATTAATATTATTGCAAAAACCAATTCTACTTAAAGCCTTATGCTCTGTAAGAATGCTATCCCTGAACCTTAGGAACAGGGTCCATTAAGGATTATTATTCCCTAAGTTAGTGGAAATAAGACTGCATAGAAATCGTTTAGTTCTGAGCCATAAGTTGGAGTTAAATATTTTTTTAGACCAGATATATTCTACCGACCTCGAATAAGAGGTAAGAGAGAGAAAGGTTGCTTAGAAATTGCTTAGTTCTGAGCCATAACTTGGACTTATGTATTTTGTTAGGCTAGAATATTCGCATGATGCAGCGAAGACTACGCTTCACAAAAACTGATAGAAGTTGGGCGCTGTTGATAGTTACATTTCATAAAATTACTCGCTGTAATATACGAGTAAAAGTGGGGCTTCAACATTAGCGTTGAATAATCTACTAATAAATAGATAAAATAATTTTATTCTGAATCTAAGTGTATTTAAACTGATTAAATTTATAGACAAAGTAGTTATGTGTGAGCAAATAAATTTCGTACAAGGGACTACAGAACCTTTCGGCGCTGTTATCTGATTATCTATTGAACTTTAATTATGAGAAGCCTTAGTTGCTCTACGTAGAGTGGTTCTTAAAATAATTATTATATCCATAATAAGGTTATTAAAGTTGATAGATATATATGTATTTCGGTTAATAAATTTACGAGTTTTTCCAAAAATAAAAACAATTGGTATGGTTTTTCAAGAAATCATAATCTCAATATTTCGAAGTTTACTTGAATTAAATATTCAGGTACACATTTCCAGTGGGTTTAGACATCTTACTTATAGTTAAATTTAATATCCTCCATTATAAATATTTTACAATATGCAATAAATACGTGAAAGCGTTAATTAGTACAACATTATAGTTTTTAATACTGTGAATTCTAATAGAAGCTATAATTATTTTTTGATGTCATATGTTCAATTACAGAATAATATCCAATGTTAAAAATCCTAAACCTTTCAGCTACATATTAACGTTCCAAGTTAATGTGCTACATAAATGGAAAAACAATTTATATCAAATTTGTAAACATCAGAACGTTTTTTATATAATTACCTCATTTGAAATGACTTCGGTTGAAAAATTCTGCACCATCTGCGACCCAAATGTATTTTATAAGCATTTGTTTTCCATGTGTGAAAACAATATACTACTTCTATTCGTCAGTCAACGCGCAAGATTCAGTTGAAATGATACTAACGACATATTTTATTCGTACTGTACTAGTTCTACTCGATTTATTAGCAAGCCAATCATTTGCTCAGGAGGATCCGAGTAATGTAGCACAATGGTTTAAGGAACGGATTCAAAGGATTCAAATGGAACAGAATTTCGAAAATATTCTCATTATTCGTCGCAATCCAAAAGATTGTTTTCTGGAGAATTTACCAAACATTTTGGAACAACCAATATGGCTTTCTGGTGACAATAATACTTTCGATTTAAAACAGAAATTCAATAGCGAAGTTTTGGCACTGGTATGTCAACAGAAGCAGTTCGATATACTCCAACTAAAATCTTTAGCTATAAATCTAAATAACATACGTCATACACGTATCATTATTTTGGCAAAAGATTTTTCTCAACCACAGGATTTATACGAACCACTCATGAGGTTCTGTGAAGAAAATCAATTCACTAATGTGATTATTATTTTTGATAGCTTAATTAAAGAAAATATTTTCTACAGATATAGTCCATATCCAGATTATCAAGTAACAGTTCAAACATTTCAGAACGCAACAGATATATTTCGAAAATATTGGTTAAATTTTCGAGGTAAAATTTTGTATACCTTACCAGATCAATATGAACCTCGTACTGTGCTCTACAAGGATCTTGATGGAGGAAACAAAATAAGTGGTTACGTTGCAAAATTAATACAATTGTATGCTAAAAGATATAATGCATCACTGCAATTTCTTTTTCCTCTTAAAATTGGACAAATTATTCATTCCAATGCTATGAAAAAGTTTTCAGAAAATCGCACTTTGGATTTACCAATGAGTATAACAACAATTGAAAATTTGCAAACCTCTCATGAAGTTTCGTATCCAGTTGAAATGAATTCTTTATTAACTATGGTGCCAGCAACAGGATCAATATCCACGGAAAATATTTACCTTATAATTTTGGGAAAAAAATTAATAATTGTGCTAATATTTATGATTTTCAGTTTTTCTGTGCTTATTACTATTGCCGATAGTGAGATAAATTTAAAAACTGGAAAACAAATACAAATCGGTTACATAAATTTAATTCTAAACGATAAAGTACTACCAGGAATTTTAGGACAATCTTATGTACTGCATACTCAGCCTAAACCAGCTCAGAAGTTTGTGTATTTATCAATATTTGTATTGGGTTTAACACTGAATACATTATATGCAGCTCACTTGAAAACTCTTATTACAAGTCATCCATCATTGAGAGCAATAATGAGTTTCGATGATTTACGAAATATGAATTTAAATATTTTAGTTGATGAAATTGACGTAAATCTTACTGATATTATTAGAGGCCGTCAAGTTCTGGACAAAATACGGGACCTGATGAAAATGACAGATACCGCAACTTTTCGATCTCACCGCTCTAATCTAAATACTTCTTATGCTTATACAGTACCATCACCAATTTGGAGATGTTTTGAAGAACAACAACATTTTTTTACACGTAAGCTTTTTTATGCACCTAAATCAATGCTAATTTTGGAAATGACGCATTCCGGTATTCCATTACAAAAAAATTCTGTACTTAAGGAATCACTCGATCAATATATATACCAGGTACATGCTGCGGGCTTTTTAAAATATTGGTACGCAAACACGTTTCGTGATATGGTCTCAGCAAAAAAAATCGCTATCACTGATAGATCTGAAATAGAAAAGTTTAACAACTTAAGAATTCAAGATTTGTATTGGATATGGATATTAATTGGATGTGGTTATATGTTGAGCACAATAGCTTTCTTGGTAGAGTTGTGTCTCAGCTTCATCAAATCAAAGCTAAGAGAAATTTAATTGACATACAAAGTGCCTTTGCTTATTTTTTTAAGTTGCTGACTGATTATTAAGCTCATTTTTTTTTATTTCAAACATTATCAAAAATTATCAAATGTTAAATATTTCTAAAAATATCGGAGGTTTTAATGTAAGTAATATACTAATAAAACATTCTAATAAAAGGTGGAGAAGCAATGCCTCCCGATTTATATTTTCAAATATTAATTAAATTGGTTCTCAGGCGATTCAATAATTTTAACAAATATTTTGATTTGCATTCAATTATTATATATAATAATCTTGATTCGAACTGTTTTGGTTAAGTTCAAATATTCAATGGATTACCAATTGTTTAATAGAGTGTTATAGATTGATGTATAGTGTTAGTGTTAGTTGAAAAGGTGAATAAAATAATAGAAGCTATGTATATGAATCTAAAATTGACTTCAAATAAAAACAAATCACTCTTATTAATCCTTTAAAGCAATTCAGTGTAATGAGGATCAAAAGTATCAAAGCAGACATATCTACCAGTTTGGCTCTATAATGTACACATTTTGAGACCAGATGCGACTTGGTAAATATACTTCATTGGAACTCTTAAAAATATCCTTTATCGTTATTGATCGTTATTACACATTACTTACAGACGTTATTTACACTCACTATAATTGATAATAAGAACTTATATTAGCAAATTTTTGTATGGATTTTATATGAACTTTACTATGAAAAATGTATAAACTCTATGTAATAATTGAAATAGCGCATTAGCCATCTGCATAGATTTCTATATTATAGACTAGTTTCGAATATTTTCGAAACCCACTTCAAGAGGTGCTTACACAAAATATAATCAAACGTATAAAGACAAGGGAATAAATAGGGAGAGAGTGAGATAAGTCTCATAGAATCGTGTTAACAATAATCAGGGCAAGGAATTATTAATTATTCTTAATGAACACTATCATTTGTCTTTAGTTATTGCTGGAGGGGAACCATGAGTTGTTGTAATTTATATCTAAGCTATTCGCAATAGGAACTTTTCTAAAATCTTGTATTCAATTTATATTTGAAAAAGCGCTTTATTTACTAAAGTATCAAATTACAAAATATTTTTAAAACTGCGGTAAATAGTTTTATTCATACGACACATTATATGTTACGTTATTAAATATTAATCTTATTTTTATAAGTGTGAAAAATTATTTCTATTAAATATGTAACCAAACACAAAGCTATTAAAATGAAATATGCACACCATAGCCAAATGAAATCCTTAATTTTGAGGGCAGTGACTTCATGTTGTTTACTCAGGTCCTTGTATGACATTTTTCCCAATTTCACTAGATCCAAAAAAGTTGATGCAATCCAATGCCGAAGTAAACCTGAATCTTGTACTTTAGATATATATTCATCAACATATTCCTTATATATCGAGTTCTCCTGCAACGGTACACTAAACAGTGAGAAAGGCACAAAATACATAGAATCAACTATGTGAAATAATTTCTTGGTAAAAAGTGACTGTCGCTCTTTAAGCATTGGCCAATATACACTTATTACTGGATAACCATAGCTAGTATTTAAGCTGTCCCTAGTTGCAATGAATTCTTGATATGTTGCAACTACTTTGAAACCTTTGTGATATTTTGGCCAAAAATACTCGCCTGGGTTTACGTCAAACACATGCACTTCTTGCTCAGCCATCATAATTTTAACAGGACTCTCTAATAAGTCGTCAAACGATTTGATTTGCTTTGCTGGTAATGGTTGTGTGAAAAATGTGTTCAAATGTGCGCCATACATGGAGCTAAATACTAGACCAGTTAGGAATATACTCATATAAAGTATACGCAAATTTAGTAATGGTCTCTGGTGCATGTTAAAGCTTGTACCCAAAATACCGCATATACCTTTCTCGTTGAATATAAAGTTGATGATATTAAATTCTTTTAGAGATTTGTAAAAAACTTCATTAGTTGTCAAAAGAATTGAGTAAATAAGAAAAAGTATAAAAAGCGACAGAATAATTTCTGTACTGCTCATGTAGAAAAACACCTCACTCGTATCCAGATCCTTCAATAATGGTAACATTGGCAACCATTTTATAATCTCAAATGGATATGCGTGCAAACCCAGCTCGATAAAATTTTCAGGTGTCGATAACGTCACACCAATATCATAAGATCCATTTCCCACTGCTAGCATGACTTCTCGAAAAAATACCGTACTACTATCAGTGATGTGTGGAAATACGGGCGTAGCATTAATTTTGCGTGCTAAATTGTTCACAAACTTACCAACATAACCACTCAACTCGAATTCACCTTTTGCATTCTTGTAAGTAAAGGAATTTGGTATTATTTGATCAGGGTAAGCACGTAATTTAGCTCCTTTCATGTTTTTTATTTTATTGGGAAAATAAGTGGACCAATTAGATTTATCGAAGAAATTTGTTTTGACTTCAAAGACAGGAAACTTCTCCCAAGAGTAAAAAATGTTCGATTCTTGAAAGGCATGTGGCAACAATATTGAGTTCAGCAGGTGCAGACTTTCACATTTTTTGAAAACACTTTCGATATGTGTATTTTCTGTATCTGTGGAATATATCAGAATTCTCGTTTGCCGCATATGGTTCAATTTGTCCGCGAGTTGTTCTAAATTTTCCGATGTATTAAAGTTGTTCAGGCAGGCAATGACTATTATTTCGGCGGTAAAGTTATATTTGAAATATATTTTCATACTCGAATTAAGTTGTAAAATTGTAGTTTCGATATTCTTCAATATATTTCCATTGTCGAGCGGGAAACTTTTACAATTTTCCAGGAGAATAGTATTATAGTTCTTTTCTGTTTTCAATTTCGAAAGAACATTTTGGAATACTCGATTCTCAATACCTTCTTTAATGATTAATTTTGTGTTTGAATATTGGAATAAATTTGTAATTAAGATATAAAGAAAATATTTGATATTCATTTCTCTAACTTTTGTCGGTTTGACTTAATATGTTAAAGTTCTTTCTGCTAACGTTTATGCAGCTAATAGTCCAATTGAATACTAATTGCAATTACGACAATCCACAAGTGCTTTATATTTTATTAAAACTTTAATAGATTGGTTTTGCCTTATATACTGCTTCAAAAATTGATTTAATTTCAATGTAAATATACCCAATAGTTTAAGATTTGTAAATGAGATTATAAAAATTAAAATTAATCACATACTTGCCACAGCTAATTTTCTGATAAATATGATTGTTTCTTACAATACTTCCACTTCAAATTTTCAGAAACTTCTATACTACATACGTACCAATAAGGAATACAACCCTTAGTATTGGACAATATCCTTCTGTGAAAGGCACTTAGTGTTTGCTTTAAGTAAACATTTTGATAAAGAATGTTTTGCAATAATTATATTTTAACTATGTTCGTAGCATATATCAAATATCTCCATAGACTTTAAGTGGATTTTAGTTTGCGGTATATATTTAACTGTATACTTATTTTATCTTTACTTAACTCTATATATTGCCCAACCATGTCAACTATATCAAACATAAAACTTAATAAATAAGACTCCATACATATGTGAAATAGAAAAATAGTAAACTTTATAAATACGCTTTGTTCAATTTCTCCTTAAGATGAAATCTATATGGTAATGTGGACACGGGTGTAGCTAGTAACGAAACGACTAATAATACTGCCAAGGCGTAGTCGATCTCTGTTGACCGTTTTTAACTTCATTTCCAAATCAAGTAAAAAATTCCTTAGTTCAGAAAATTTGTAAGACCAATTAACTTTTAGATTGTTGAATCTACTAACACTATTACAAAAAAATCAACAAGAAATCACAACGAAAGAATCTAAGGATCATTCGATCCTTCACTCGGTTAGTACACACTAAGACCATACACAGTCACCTTTTAAACCATAACCATACAAGTATGTAGTTGCAAGATCGCTTTAAGAACACATCCTAATCGTTTTTTCACATTTTACCTTCACAAGTTTATATTTATTTAAAAATTCAAACTCGAACCATCCTATCCAATCCTATCCAAAAAACTTTAGGACAGTACTCGCTTTTCTTATATCAGCAAATCATTTTAAACTTTACAGAAATTCACTTACTTAAATCGGTCCTAATCTGCAAATAATTTATAATAATTCAATCATAATGATTATTTACCAGACAGCCGATAGTCTCCAAAACAAGTGCTGTGGCTAATCTGGTCTTAGATTATCCTAAACTGATTACAGATTTGACTAATCTCGTTTTAAATTATACTAATCTGGTCTTAAACTCATTATGTTCTTAAAAGTACCGCCTGACCGGCGTAGCTAGCTTTTGGTTTAGATGGGGACTATATTGGTTGGTTCAATAAACTATCTCATATTAATGTCAAATCATAATTACTAACTGTTTATTCATTTGTTTGCGTAGATAGCTCAATTATTCTTCTCGTGTAGTTGCTGAACTTTTAGGTCCGTAATATTAACATCCGCTAGCTTTTCAAGATTATTAGAGAAAAATTCATCTAGATTGGCTTTTTCTCTTCCTGTCAAGAGCAGGTAACATATCTTTGTATTTTGTAAGGTAAGAGGTTAATATGGCTGAATTCGAGCCAAAATTGCAATTTTAATAATCCATAATAAAGCAATGTTGCTTTTCTGTGTATAATATTCTATATGCTTCCCAAGAGTAAAAATTTCTAACTAGAAATACTGGACAAATTGAGGAGACGAACTGACTTTTTAATGTTTCTGTCTCCAAATGTATGCCTATGTAGTACGATCGTGCAGTCCATATCTCTCTCAATAGAATAACTGTATTGAAATACTTGTTGAATATTACTTTCATTATATTTTCTTATTCTAGGTGCATTTGTGGTAGCTGTTTTACAGGTGTACAGATTATTATATTTTATACAATAAGTAAACATCAGTACATAATATATCTGTTCGATCTCTATATAGATAAGCTCCTTATCCGCTCATCTGCTTACTTAGGATAAAGTAGATATATACAATGAGTTATATACTATCCAAGAAATGTATAACTATAGCTGATATATATAATCCATTAAATAACAATTGATTAGGTACTGTAGGATAATAAAAGAAGGAAATAGGAGATTGATTAATTCATTTCTCTGCGTATGAAGTCTGTTCGCAAGTATTTTGACTGCATGGTTGTTATCCAAACTTAAATATATATATGTGTATAAAATAGTGTACCTATATATATAAATGTTTATAATGGTATAACATTAAAGTAAATAAAAGTTTCATTAAGCTTTGAAAATCAAAACGTTTACATTAACATTAAGTAAAAGTATTTTTGAATTTGATTAGAAATTATTAACACATATATGACACTGCTAATTAGTATTGCATTAAACTCATTTATATTATTTTCATTTGCTTTCAATTATACAGATACAAAAATATTAGACCATTTACCTGCATATTAATATCCCGTATCACTGATGGTCACTACTAATGGAATGACAAATAATAACAGACTTGTAGATATCCGAACATATTTCAAATAATTATTTTCATTTAATTGATTTAAGTTACGATAGTATATTTTACATCCAAATGTACATGGAAAGTGTGAAAACTTTTTAAGCAGCTAGCAGTATATGTAATCAGTTTAGCAGGAATGTTACTAACAAAATATCTTATTCGTCTCATTCTACTCAATTTGACGTTGGCACAATTATTTTGTAAAGCACATGGAATCAACCACGAGCAATGGTTCACCGAATGGATTAATAGGATCCAAATGGAACAAAATTTCGAAAACATTTTGATTTTGCGTCATAAAACAGAAGATTGCTTTCTAGAAAATTTAGCAAATATTCTGAAGCAACCGAAATGGATTTATACCGATAATAATATCTTTGAGCTAAAACAAAAATTTAACAGTGAAATTCTAACGGTATTATGTGTACAAAAAGAATATAATCCTGTCCTGTTAGTGTCCCTGGCTAAGATTCTAAATAACTGTCGACATACTCGTATAATTTTATTGGCGAAAGATTTTTCTTTACCACAGGATTTGTATCAGCCGCTCATAAATTTCTGCGAACAAAATCAATTCACGAATGTGATTATTTTATTTGATAAATTATTAGAAGAAAAACAATTTTATAGACTTACTCCATATCCAGAGTATAAGGCAATCATTCAAACGTTCGGCAATTCGACAAAGATATTTCCAAAGCATTGGACAAATTTTCATGGTAAAGTTCTGCACACTTTACCTGATCAACTAGAACCACGCAGCGTTATGTATATAGATCAAAAAGGACACCTAAAACTAACCGGTTATGTAGCAAAATTTATACAATTATATGCCGAAAAGTACAATGCCACACTTGAGTATCTATTTCCTATCAATATTGGACAAATTATTCATTTCTTTACAATACAAAAATATACAGAAAATCGCTCCTTGGATTTGCCTATTAGTTTGACTGCTATTGCGACTGTCCAAAGCTATTATGAACGGTCATATCCAATCGAATTGAATTCATTACTAACTATGGTACCAACAAAGGATTTAATGCCAACGGCTGATATATATCTCATGGTTATAGATAAAAAATTAATTATCGCAATTTTATTTATGATTTTTAGCTTTTCTATGCTATTTGTTATTATCGACAGTAAAATAACTTTGAACTCTGGAAAAACCCAAAATATAAGATATATAAATTTAATATTGAACGATAAAGTAGTACCGGGTATTTTAGGACAAACTTATATCTTACACAATCGGCCAAAGCCGGCACACATATATTTATATATATCTATATTTATTTTGGGTTTAACCTTAAACACTATCTATGCAGCACACTTAAAAACTCTCATCACAAGTCATCCTGTACTACCAGAAATAAAAAGTTTCAATGACCTACGAAAAATTGGTTTATATATATTATTTGATGAGACTGATGTTAAATTGTTGGATACGTTAAGACCGAAATTCCTAGACCAAATTCGTGATTTAATTAAAGTAACTGATACTTCTACTTTTCAAAATGAAAGAAAAAAGTTTAATATTTCATATGCTTATAATGTTCCAGCACCAACGTGGACTATTTTTGAGGAACAACAACGCTTCTTTGCAAGAAAAATTTTCTTTACTCCGAAAGCTATGAAACTTTGTGAGATGTATCATATGACCGTTCCACTGCAAAAAAATTCAGTACTTAAAGAACCGTTCGATTTATATATACATCATATTCACGCTGCTGGCTTGTTAAACCATTGGTATACAAAAACATTTCAAGATATGGTGTCTGCAAAAAAGATCTCTCTAACTGATCACACCAAAGTGAATGTATTTAATTATTTAAAAGCCGGAGACTTAAAATGGGTATGGATATTTATTGGAAGTGGTTATGTATTGAGTTCTATAACTCTTTTAGTAGAATTGTGTGTTAATATTAAAAAATCAAAGCCAAGAAAACTCTAAGAATCTAATAAAAATTTTTTATTGTATTTAAACAAATACTATACAAAACTACTGCAGCGATTTTCTTCAAAGTTTTTTATTATATGAATTTAGTATTTATATGAGAATTGATATATTGTAACATTTTAATTTATATATTATTCAAAGATTCTAATAAATTAAACTCCTATTTAAAAATTAAATGACATTTTGAAGTATATTTATCTAAGACTATTAAGTAGATTACAGAACTGCATAATATTGTATAATAAAAAAGAAGCAATAAAATTAATTCCTATCAAAAATTAAGTTTTTATCTATATCATTAGAAAAATTCTTTAAAAAAAGCTAAATATTGCCATCTTCTTCTTTCTTCTTCTTCTTTTATTTTCCACCATTTTTTGATTTAAACCATAATCGGTTTTTAAATATTTTAAAATAAATTGCTTATATATTTGAAAATACTTACATAAGAACTTTTTATTTTGACTGCATGTGCTAAAACGTCCCAGCCAATGCCTCTTAATTTCTGCCGCTTCATTAAATTGGTAAACCCCCCTCCCCCCCTATCTTCTCCTCATCCGGCGTCTCTCATGCCTCAATGGCTAAGTCCGTGGCACTGACCATCCAACCTCAGTCATTTTCGGCTACGTACGTCCCTAAGCCATAACATCAATTCGCAACCAGCACTCCGGGCTTTCAAAAAAGATGAGGTCGCTTCAAAATTTTATAGTGTTATCGTCATTGAGGTTTCTTACAGTTTTGAAGGTCTAAGGTAAAAAGTATACAAATGCTTTTTTTTTGCAGGTTAAGCAATGATATTACGGTTACATGTTAGTGTTAAGAGCTTAACTGGTGCACAGAATAACATTGGTTTTTATTGTTCTCCCTAAAACGAATTTTAATAAAATATACTCGTTTTAGCACACTTTTCAATCCGTCACTACATCATTACACTTTTGAGCATATGTTGGGTTTCATAGCTGCTTTGTAGTATCGGTATTGGACACGTCACTACAATAGACAATACCAAAACATACATTGTGCCACTTATTCGTTCTTGTAAGTTGACCTACACTTAAATAATACTGATTTGGTTTTATGATTCGGTAACAGAAAATTCAGTACTCAGTAAACGGATCATAGATGCCATAAAATTATCTGTGGCTTACATCTATTCTATTCTATGATACTGTAAGCATTTTTCAAATTACTTCCGGTTGACCATTTTATATATACCATAAAATTTTAAACTTACTTAATAATAGGATTAATTCGTTAGTAACTTTAAAGTATGCAGTAAGAAAAAACTTTATTTTACTACATGTAAAACTTTTATTTGAATATAATCAACTCTTTTACATATTATGATATTAATAATCGTGTACGAAGGTTTTAAAGTAATGAATTTATTTTAGAAAGTTAATTTTGTACAATGCTTCCATTTAACGAAGTTAATGAACATCTCTATTAAAAATGCGATTGTGCTTAAAATGTAACCACAACTAATAAAAATCCAAATCCATTTTAAATCCTTGATTCTTAAACTACGAAATAGATCATCGTTTCTTATATTGGCCCGCGAAATTTTGCCCGCTGACAGCATATCCTTAAATGTACTTATATACCAATGTTGCAAGAGTCCTGCAGCATGTACAAACATTATATAGCGATCAAGAGATTCTTTAAGTATCGAGTTTTCCTGAAGTGGTATACCCAAATGTACCATCTCTAGGATAACCATTGCTTTTGGAGCATGAAATATTTTTCGACCAAAGAAACGTTGCTGTAGTTCGGTAACGGACCACATTGATGTTGATACTGGATAAGCATGAGACGTATTTAGAATCTGGCGTTGTTTCTGAAACATTATTGTATCCGTTATATCTAGTAAATCACGTATTTTATTTAGCTGTTGTACTCCAATATTATTATCTACTATGTTTATTTCAGTTTTGTCAGCTAAAATTTTTACATTCGTTTTTCGTAAGTCATCGAATGTCATTATTTGTGGGAGTGAGGGATGACTTGTGATCAGAGTTTTCAAATGAGCTGCATAAAGTGTGTTCATAGTCAATCCTAATATAAAAATAGATATGTAAATACACCGCTGTGCTGGTCTAGGTTTAAAGTGAAATGCGTAAGATTGTCCTAAGATTCCAGGTACTACTTTATCATTCAGTAATAAATTTATAAATCTGAAATTAATTTGATTTCTAGTTTTTAAATTTATGTCACTATCAATTATAGTGAAAAGTAAAGAAAAACAGAAAACTATTGTTATTAGCACTATAATTAATTTTTTTCTAATAACTATGAGATAAATATCAGCTGTTGAGAGAGAACCCATTGTGGGTACCATTACTATCCATGTAGATAATTCAATAGTATTTGACATTATATTCGTTTGCTGATACTTTAATATTCCCATAATACATATTGGTAAGTCCAAGGTACGATTTTCGGTATATTGTTTCAGTATATTAAAGTGAATTATTTCTCCAACTTTAACAGGAAAAAGAAATTTCAAAGTGGCATTGTATCTCTTAACATATGAATATAATAACTTTGTCACGTAACCAGTTAATCTTTGTTCTCCATTCCGATTCAAATACATAATAGTGCGGGGTTCAATTTGGTCTGTTAACGTAAGTAAGACCTTACCATTGAAATTAAGCCAATGTTGTGGGAATATTGTTGTTGTATTACGAAAGGATTCTTTGTTCACTTTATATGTCGGATATGGTGTTAGCCTGTAGAAAAATTCCTCTGCAATTAATTCATCAAACAAAATAATCACATTTGTGAAACGACTTTGATCACAGAATCTCATGAGCGACTGATAAAAGTCCCGACGTTGAATAATATTTTTTCCTAAAAATATAATACGCGTTTGCCTTATATGATTAAGAATTACCTTCAAAATTTCTAGCTGAAGCTCGTTGAATTCTTGTTGGATACACACAAAAGCTATGAGTTCGCTGTTGAACTTTTGTTTCAATGCAAATGTATTGTTGTCGCCATAAATCCATCTAGGATATTCGAGTATATTTGGTAAATTTTCCAGGAAACAATCTTGATGTTTGTGACGCAGTATAAGAATATTTTCAAAGTTCTGTTCCATTTGGATATTAAGGATCCAATTTCTGAACCATTGCTCCAAACCATTGCTATACTGTGTTTCCAAAGGAACTAATTGTGCTGCGATTGTATTTAGTAATATAAAATGTATAAAATATTTTCCTAGTAACATTTTTGCTGAACTGCATGTGTTTACTGATAGAATTATATTCGTATTATATTTCCATTCAATTAGAATTAATGGCCGTTCAAATGCATTTCAAGCTTTTCCGTCACATAATTTTATGCATTTCCTTAATGTTAGGTAATTATTATAAACATATGGTTAACTATTGTTTTGTTATTAATTACGAATCCATTAGTGTCATTATATATGACATAATGCATACAGTACACAATTTTTAATATACATACCATATATAAACTTCTACAGTATAGTTGATAAGTCTATTCACTTTAATTTTAAACATAAATACATAAATCAATGAACAACCAACTTGAGAAAGCCAAGAAATCATTAAGGTACTCAAATCTCAGTAAGTGCGATCAGAGTTTGTAATGAGTGTTAAAATAACTTGACTGGACTAAAATATTCAAGTATGGATTCTTTGGATTCTAAGGCATAATATGATACAAACAAGTAAGAAGAGATATGCAAAGAAACGAGCGAGATCGTTGCTGTTATGCTCTGAGCTATTCTTTAGCATAGAATCATATTTTTCTACTTATGAGAAGAGAAGAAGAAGAACAAGTGTGATGGAAAACCACCCACGTTGATTACATCGTAAATTCTCAATAGAGACCTACAACCTTAATCAAGATTGTCTAAACTTAACAAAAAATAATTTTAGAATTATAACAGGAGTTCTTACAGATAATTTTAAGTTGAATCATCATCAAAATAAACAGAGAATTATTCTCTCAGAGAGTCAATCAATTCTCAAAGCCCTAAAAATCCATACATTTACATTAAAAATGTATATAGAATGTAACAATCCACTTAATCAAAGACCTTATCTACAAAGAGGTCTTTGATGCGTGAACATAAAGGACACAAAGGCAACGAAAAGGCGAACCTTTATTACAAATAAGGGGTGAAAGGGTCATTTATCGGTCTAACCCCTTTCTTTAGCTTCAATAAAAAGAATATAAAACATGTGACCAAAAAATGATCCAAAAAATCACAAATTACTTTAATGGCATTGACGTTCTAAATTACTCAAAAAAATTCTTGAATTTTGACGCCAAAGAGCAAACATCCTTCTCAATCTAAACAAAAAGAGTCCAAAGCCATTCTTTTTTGCACTTTCAGGCCACTTCGTCTCAATGAACACCTACACAAAATAGGTATATTCAGCTGTGAAGAGGAAGAGTCTATGGAACATCTGATCAATAACTGTGATGCATTAGGCCACAGGAGACACAAAATTAAAGATGCAAACCAACTAGAGGATGAAGATCTTCAAAATCTTCCTCCGAAAGAGCTGGTTCGTTTTCTCGATATATTAAACTTCTAGATACAAAGTGGTGCACAATAGCTCAGGCTGATCGCAGTGCATAAGTCTAGTTCATAATTCCTTACCATTACCTTACTATCTTCAATGGAATTTGTTGGTTCTATTAGGAGGGGAAGAAAACTGCAAAGAATGTGATATAGAAGAGAACAAAAAGAATAGAATATAACAAATGTTACTTTTTATTGAATAAGTAGAACTCAGTTAATCCCTAGAAGTGAACGAAGAAGGTACAGTCTACCTTTAGGCTTCATTGTAATATTGCTCCTTCATAATATTAATTATTTATTTATAATATTATTATTACAAAACAGCAAAAAATCGTTAATTGAGATTCATGGAAGTAATCTAATGGCCTGCCATTGCAACCAACCATTATAATAATATTATTATTTATAATATTAATTAACCTGTAACTAATTATATATGAGTAAAAATCAAACACCACAAAAAGTATTTAATGTAGTTATGAAATTTAACTTAAAGAAACGAATATTTATAATGAAGACATTAAAAAATCATTATAAAAAGACATTTTGTTTATTTAACTCGAATTCACATAAAAGGGATTAACTATTCCATTTTATTATAGTATTTTAGTCCCACACCTTTGATTTTAATTGTTTCGAATTTTCAGTCCCTCCATGAAAGTTACCTAAGTAAAAATAATATTTAATGCTAATGGATTTATAATTAATAACACACCAACCAATATTAGAATTCATTTAAAATAATAGTTCGAATTACTAAATTTTAATGTATAACTTTAACTTATCTGTCATAAATTATAATGCCTTTTATTGGATATTATTTTTTGTTACGTTACAAGTAAATAAAAATTTGTGGCCATCAGTAAATTTTCGAATTTCAATAGAAATGTTACCTGCAAAAACTTTAGTTCATTTTATATTGCTGGGTTTGGTTGCAGCTCAACTGGTTCCCTTGAAGGAACAACTTCAGTTCGAGCATTGGTTCAAAAGTTGGGTACGTTTAATTTATACGGAAAGCAAATTCGAAAATATCTTAATACTGCGTCATAAACCTGATGATTGTTTCTTGGAAAATTTGCAAAATATACTTGAACAACCCAAATGGCTCTTCTCCACAAATAATACTTTTAATCTAAAACAAAAATTTAATAGTGAAATCTTGGCTTTTGTATGTTTACAGAAAAAATTTGATGTTCTCCAATTAAATCCTTTGACGAAAATTCTAAATCATATACGACACTCCCGACTCATCTTTTTAGGTAAGGATTTCGCTCAATCGCAAGAGCTGTGCGATCCACTCAAGAATTTCTGTGAAAAACATCAATTTACAAACGTGATTATTTTATTTGAAAATTTAATGAAAGAACAGCATTTCTATAGGTTAACACCATATCCAGTATATAAAACAGTCAGAGCAACTATCAACAATACAAAAGAAATTTTTCCTAAATTTTGGTTAAATTTTCATGGTAAAGTCTTGCTCACATTACCAGATCAAGTTGAGCCTCGCAGCTTTATGTACATGAGTCACAATGGTCAACAGAAATTAAGTGGTTATATAGCAAAATTAATACAATTATTTGCTAAGCGATACAACGCTACACTCCAGTTCCTCTCTCCGGTAAAAATTGGGAAAATTATTCATCCGCCTTTTATGAAAAACTATACGCAAAATCGATCGTTAGATTTGCCAATTAACTTAGGAGGTGTTTTGAAATTTGATCATTACCATGAAATGTCGTATCCGGTTGAATTAAGTTCCTGGTTAATAATGGTGCCAACGACGGGCTCATTGATCACTGCTGATGTTTATCGTATAATTATGGAAAATACACTGATAATTGCTTTTGTGTTTACAATATTTATTTTTTCAGTACTTTTCACGATCATCGATAGCGATTTAACTTCAAGAACTGGAAGGCAAATCAAAATAAGACTCATAAATTTAATACTAAACGATAAAGTTGTGCCTGGAGTCTTAGGACAATCTTACATATTTCACACACAACCAAAGCTAGCACAAAGATTTTTATATATATCAATTTTCATAATGGGTCTTACATTAAATACCCTTTATACAGCGCATTTAAAAACTCTTATCACAAGTCATCCCTCACTTCCACAAATAATGACATTCGATGATTTACGAAAAATGGGTGTGAATATTTTAGTTGATGAAACCGAAATTAAGGAAGTGTACAAGTCTAAAGCATCTACTATTTTGGACAAAATACACGATTTAATGATTATGACAGATACTTTAACATTTCACAATCGGCGTAGAAATCTAACTACATCATATGCTTATACAGTATCAGCACCACTGTGGGCAGTTTTCGAACAACAACAGCTCTTCTTTGCGCATAAAATTTTTTATGCCCCGAAATCAATGGTTCTCTCTGATATGTATTATATGTGTGTTCCACTCCAGAAAAATTCTGTGCTTAAGCAATCCCTTGATTCTTATGTTCACCGCATTAACGCTGCAGGTTTATTACGTTATTGGTATGTAAGCACATTTCGGGATATGCTGGTAGCAAACAAAATATCTCTTACTGATCGCACCAAAGTGGAAACATTCCACAGTTTGAGCGCTTGGGATTTGAAATGGATATGGATATTTATTACATGCAGTTATGTGTTAAGCATTGTGATATTCTTTATGGAGTTATGTGTAAGTTCTATTAATTTGAGAAAGTCATAAATAAATAATTGTACTGCTTTATCACATCTTTAAAGCACCAAAAAGAAGCTCAAGAGAAATGCTTTAAACATTAATACAATTATAAAAAATATTTGTTTTTAAACTTGAATATTTATTAATAAACTATGAGGAAATGTTAAGTGTTAAATAATTCACATTATGAAAGATAATTATATATGTTATATACATTTTTTTAATAAAGTTGTCTAAAGTGATTTATTGATTTGTCTGTAAGTCAACACGATTAATGTGGCTACTGGACTAAATTACCTAAAAAATTTTTAAAAACTAAAATCGTTAATTTTACATTTTTAGTTTATTATTACTGGTAGATTGCAGATACTAATGGCAGCTCGACTATCAGGAAACAGAATAGGAAACATATTTTTCCACTTCATTGCTTTTGAAACTGGTGTCTCTTCATTACAGTCCAAAATTATTTTGTATTCAATTGCCTTATTTGCCGCTTTACTATATGCAAAAATAGTGACATACAATTTCTTGACCTGATAGGGTATATCTATCACTAAAAAATATATCAGAGTTTTTATCACATACCGTCACATACCCGCCACATATTTTAAAGAGCTGTGTGTAGATATTAACTTCAGAATTATTAGTTTTATCTAAGTGATAACTTTTATTTTCAATATCATACAAAAACATACTGTGTCTATAAATAACTGATTTCCATTATATAAACCCACGTAATCTGAACGATTAATCACCTACAGTGGTAACAGTTAATATATTATATTCAATTCTGTTTAAGGGGAATTTAATAACGCATTTGAGTTATTAAACTCATAAGCTCTGAGAAAGAAATCAGAGAAACTTTCGACGAATCGGCATTATTAAATAAAAATATTTGTTCAAATCCTTACATTTCTATTAATATTATATATTACTATATTACTATATCCAAAAAACAATGAATCCAAAATTCCTTATAATAAATCCAAATTTTCTCCCTTAGATACGAAAAACATCATCCTTTTTTATTTTTATGATTGAAGTAAATTTAGAGGCGACGATAAGCAATTAAAGTATTGGAAAATCATGAAAAATTCGAGTTTTTTTAAAATAATTAGAAAAGTATTGATTGTATTGGTAAGATCGTATGTTTTATCGACATATTTCCTTATTTTTTTCGAACAACTTTCCTTTAAACTTTGCGAACGTTTATGTCAACATCTTAACACCTGTGGTGGAACCTGTAGAAGTTTATTTTTTGAATAAAATGTGTTGTTTGTCATTGGTTGGTTTTCATGAGCTCGGTGAGGATTAGCATCTATAACTGATACATACTATTTCTTTTGTAATACAACTTTTTTGATACATCACATAACTTAAAAGTTCAAACCATTTACCATACAGCAGTAATATTTTTTATAAAAGATAATGGTTTTTTCACCTCTAGACTTAAAACTGAACTTTTCTTTATATATCCAATATTTATATCTCAAAAGGTTAACCACCTCCTATAGAAACGTTTAATTTTCTAGGTGTTATTTAAAGTATTCAAAACAACTTAATAAATATAATTTTATGTAAAGAAAATTTTTAAAATTTTATGTGAAATTAACGAACTAATCCCGATAATAATCAAAAAACTTATTTATTTTTTATTAGTTTTATTCATCTATTTTTAATTATTTTTTACTAATTTTATTGCGTTTATTTTTAATTAAGATTCATTTTTGGCTTAATATATTTATACTTAAATAAATCAACACAATAGTTAAATATATATTTTTTTTATAAATAAATGGAGTAATAGGATAATATTATATATTAATGCAATAGTTTTAATTTTGTTTTATTTTGTATAAAATCATTAAAAATTTCTGTTAAAAAGACGCAAAAACTAATACATATGGCAATACTGAACGCAAACCAAATCCAAATAAAGTCACTAAAACTTAAAGCCCGCAACTGCAGAGTTTCACTCAGGTCTTGCATAGACATTCTTCCAATTCTCACAAGGTCAATAAAACTTGAAGACACCCAATGTTCCATTAAGCCAGAACTAAATATTTTTAATATAAAAGCGTCTAATGTTTCTCTATACATTGAATTTCGTTGCATTGGAATACCAAAACACGCAGAACGCGCAAAATAAAAACGTTCAGATGCACGAAACAGTTTATGACTAAATAAAGCTTGCCTCTGTTCGATTAATGGCCATAAAGAAGATGTTACCGAGTAGCCATAAGAAGTGTTCAGATTGTTCCGATGTTCAATAAAGTTTTCAAATGTTGGTGCGACCACAAAAGCAGCGGCATGTTTTGGCCAAAAATCTTTTCCAAGTGTAAAGTCTAAAACGTGTAGTTCTTGTTGTGCTATCATAATTTTTATTGGACCATTGAATAGATCCTCATAACTCTCGATTTGCTTGGCATGCATTGGCATTGTAAGAAATGTATTAAGATGTACTGAATACATAGCATTAACCAACAAGCTTGTTAGAAAGATTGCAAAATACACCATACGCAGATTAGCAGATGGAGATTGTTTCATTTTAAATCCTGAACCCAATACGCCACATAAACCTTTTTCATTTAGCAAATAATCTAATACGAAAATATTTCCATTTTTCTTTATAGTGTAGAAATGTTCATTAATAGTTAATAAACTGGAATATACCAATGTTAGTATTACTAAAATCACTGAGAACATTCCTTTGAAGATTTGCACAAACATTTCACTTTTTTCCAGATCTTTGATAATGGGAAACATGGGAAACCAACTGAAAGTTTCAACCGGATATGTATGCACATAATATTCTTCAACCGATTCAGCCGATGAAAGACTGGCTCCAATATCGTAACTTCCATTCACAATTGCATTCATCATGTCCCGATAGAAAATCGTTTTATTATCTGTTGAGTTAGTGAATTCCAAAGTGGCATTTATTTTTTTAGCATACAGCACTACCAGTTTTCCTATATAACCAGTTAAACGAATTTGACCGTCTTTGTCTTTATATATAACTGATCTGGGAACATTTTTATCAGACATCGCACGCAACTTTGTACCTTTTAAATTAGTTATTTTATTTGAGAAATATATTCTTTTATCTTTTGCCTGAAAGTAATGACTTTGGACTTTAAAGATTGGAAAAAGTTCATATGAATAGAAGATATTCATTTGCTGAAACTCTGAAGTTGTAAGAAGCACATTGAGCATTTTCAATTTGGCACAACGCTCCAATATTTGCGTAATAGTATCAAGTTTTGTGTCACCATTTTCTAAATATATAACCACTCTCGTCTGTCGCAAATGTTCCAATTTATAGGCAAGTGTATTTAATCTATTCTCAAACCTTTGTCCATCCAGACATAATAGCACAATTAATCTTGTATTAAAATTGGTCTTCAGATAAATTTTATCTCTAGGTTGCATATACAAAATCGCAACCGATCCAATGCCTTTGAAGAAACTGTAAAGTTCAATTGTGGAATTATTGCAGTTTTCAATAGCCAGCGTCTTGTAATCCTGCTCATGTTTTAGTATTGTGAAGAATGCTTGTAGATTCTTCTGATTTTCTGTATGCGGAGTAAATATTTCCGTCATGCCAATATTAAACCCAGCTGTACGACTTAAATATATTAAAATATTTATAACGTACAACAACATACTCAGCCCGAAATTGAAATGCAAAGTTACTTTTCTCTCATATTTATTCGTATGGTTATTCGTAATGTTAAAGTGCATTAATAATATAATTCAACTACAAAAGATTTTTGTATTGTATTGTAAAATTACTTAATTTATAGTTTATATAAATAAACGATATATAATTTATCTTGACATTTTTTTAGCTACTGTGTAAAAGTAATTTTCCCTAAATGTTATTTTATCACATAATAACAGTTTTAGCTACTATACTTCGCTCATGGCTCATGAAATTTTTATTTAATTCTTTGGAGTGTTATTAGTAACTAATTATGTATAATATTAAATTAAACAAGTTAATGTGTAAGTTAATCAAATTTATATAATATATAATATTAAAAGGATATTCAATGTATTCATTTTAATATCACAAATTTGATAGAATGAATTCCAATTACTTAAATGATTGGAAACGTCATGTACTTATTGTATTAAAAACCGGATGAATTGCTGAAATACACATTCATTACAATAAATTAATAACAAAATTAGCTGTAATTTTATTTAAAAATACTTCGGAGATAGTTTTTACAAAGAACGAAAAGTGCTTTAAACTCATAAAAAATTTTCCGCATTACTTCTATGTTTCTGTTGCAATTCATCCGGTCAGAAATAATGCCGTAATGCAAGGAATATAACAAAGAAACAACAATTTGCAAACTGCAATAGGTGAAATCATTACACGATGCGACAAATCCATATGTCATCATGTGCTCTTAGTCTTCCGCCATAAATTTCTTCTTTTAAAATAAATGAATATTATAAAATTGACATGGACAAAAGAAAATAGAAAAAATATTATATACATCTATGCATTTCAAGGATCCAAAAGTAAACATTAATAAAATACAGTTCAAAATAATTTTTGGACTTTGTCATCAGGTGTGATATACCACATCATTCAAATATCTTCCATGCAACATCTTACCGCAATTTATCGCTTCGATGATTCAATACATCGCTTGCAATAGCTCTGCTATCTTTAATACAACACTTGTAAGCTATACTTTAAATTCGTTACAAAATATTTCAAAAACACGTTTCAGTTTTTATTTTAGCAAATAAGGATGGGAATGGTAATCCAAAGGAGAGAAACGCTTAATTGAGCCCACACGGGAGAAAATATGTATATTTACTCTGACAGAAACTTAGCACTCGTAACACTAAGCTCACCTTGAGTGACTTCAAAACTATTGTGGGAATGCCTTCAACTTCTCAAAGATCTTGCTGAAAGGAAAAAGGTCCACTTAATATGGATTCCAGAAGAACGGCCTCATCCTATATTGTCCCAAGACCATTCTGCGGCCTTCATGGAGCATCTT